GATTCAGGCCTAGCTTGGTGTTTATCCTTAAACAACTTCTGCCACTCCAGGGAGCATGGTTGAGACAGAAATCAGTGACAATTTCCCAGGTAGAGACTGAGGCATGGTAAATAAGTGGCATACTTAAATCAACCCAATAGATAAAAGGAGTGGGCTTTGCTATGCAGTCAGGGTAGGCTGTTTCAGAGCTTTTAGGACCCTGGTCAGCCTTCTGGCAAGAACTGAAACAGACAACTCAAACAATAGCCTAGGGAATGCCCGTGCTCATTAGGCTGAGCAGTGGGGTAAGGACCATACAAAGCTCAGATGTAGCCAGAACCCTAGGGACAGGAGATTTTTCCAATCCATACAGCCAGCTCTCAACTAGAACTTAGTTTATAAGGAAGAAGTTCAGGCACAAACTTGGCCGCCATGATGGTCATTTGAGTATTTAACACTTTGATGGCCTGAAACTGTGAAGAGGGGGCTGGTGATATTTATTGCCAGGTAACATTCTTTCTTTGAAACCACATAGCTCCTGACAAGCAAAGATGTAAGTTCCTTAGATATGTTTATTCAGAACTACAATTACCTCCCTAATCTTTGTCTCTAATGTGATTTTTATGTTTACAGCTGTCTTCACTCTTTTACTTTATATATCCTCTCATTCACCAGTTTTAAATTTGAAGTCATTTGAATTTTGTTGTTTTAGGTTTATACACTTAGAAACATTTATAGAACAAAGAATTTCTTACAGCATCCAGCGATTATAGAGCTGATGATATCTTGGAAGGTAGTTACAAGGTTTGGATGATACAGAACCAAAATTATGCAAGTGAAAGTATTAGACTCATGGCAATATTGAATTAAAACTACATGTTATTACTTTAGACCCTACTACATCCTATCTTTCATTAATTTAATTATTTCATTTGCTTTTTGCTAAATTTTGTACCCTCAAATAAAATTTAAAATGCAATATTTTAAACAAGGTCTAAAGAATTTCAGCAGAGAAATGATTCCCTTCTGATTAGGAAATATGCTATGGGAACCATCTCCAGCTAATGGTGTTTGTTTCCTGGTATTTCAGGGAAAATTAGAAAATGCATCATATACCTCCAAAAATAAATCATATGGCATTTAAACTCCAATTAGTAAATAGTTTTCCATTGATGATATAGTCAAGTTTCTTTCTCTAATAACATTTTTAGTTCAACACAGACAAAAATAAAAAATCAATAGACAACATAGCAAAATATACTCTATTGTTTTAAAAACTCCAAGTCCCATAAGAAAAGCTTTATTCTTGTTCCTAATATTTTCCTCATAGACATGTTTGGGTCCCTGTTTATAAGGACAGGAAAGTAGCTGCTCAGTTGTTCTTAAATAGCCCTTGAAGATCATTTTTTTTTTTCCAAAGGATATGTGTACTCACAAGAGAGAGACAAGAAAGAAGATAGAAAAGGGAAATGAGAAAGTACTCCCCTGTGGTGCATGGTCACACCATAATCCCTTCTCCTACACCTGTTCCTTCTTTTAGAATTTTGGGTGCACATGCACATAGGCTGGGAGTAGCTGGCCTAGTGGGATCCTGCTGTCTTAACTACCAGGCCACAGACTGACCACACCTCTAATTATTTAAAGAGCTCAATTTCGTCCTCTTCCCTCTCTGCTGCAGGGCCCTTCAACAAAGATTTTCATTTCTCATCAAATATTCTCAATATCCTTAGTTCATTTTGGGAAGTTAAAACTATCTTTATAGATTTCTGCAAATTTTTAGGTTATTAGGATAGAAGATATAAAATGCTCATAGGAACTGATCCTACTATTAGAAAGGAATAATGGAGTTGTCATTTTCGAGAGTGCTGTAGTTTGAATGTTGTGGTGGGAGGTGGTATTTGGAGGGTGGAGATTCCTTTGTGCCAATGGGAATCGTACTGTTTTTATTCTTCACAGAATATTCAGAGGCTGGGAACCAGCAGTTAGCGGAATGCCTATGTCGCTGGACTCTCACATAGTCGACTGTGGTTCCCGTCCCAGACCCGGTGGCTTAAAACTCACGCCGGGCGTGCGTGCTTGCATGCCCAAGATCCCGAGAGGAGAATGGAGGAGAAGGGATTGCAGCGTGACCATCCTCCCTGGGGGGTGATTTCTCGTTTTCTGTCTCTATGTCTCTCTCTGTCATGAAAACCTCTCCAAAAAAAAAAAAAAAAAAAAAAAAAAAAAAAAAAAAAAAAAAAAAAAAAAAAAAAAAAAAAAAAAAAAAAAAAAAAAAAAAAAAAAAAAAAAAAAAAAAAAAAAAAAAAAAAAAAAAAAAAAAAAAAAAAAAAAAAAAAAAAAAAAAAAAAAAAAAAAAAAAGAACATTCAGAGGCTGAGGTTGTTGCTATAATTAGAAACTTCAGAAAGAGAAGATAGAAGATAGAAGATACCTCTACAAAACATGGGAATTAATAGTAAAAATTAAATTTCTGTATTGATTGACATTATGTTCTCATATTAAACAAAGACAGCAAATACCTTGTATCATTAAAAAAAATAGCTAGAATCCAGGCTTCCTCTGTTTTCTTTGAGATAACTAAGATACGATATTGCCCATTTTTTGTCTTAGGTAAATGTAAACATTTTTATGTAATTATTAGTCAAAATCCTATTACAGTAGTCCCCTAGAACTGTTTAAAATATGTATAGTACTAAAATTTCTTAATATTAAATGTTACTTTAAAAAAGAAGGTAATAAACTAGGGCTTAAATGATTTATAGTAATTAAGGTGATAATATATTAGATCGTTGGGAAAAGCATGATGCAATTTTCTGTTTTTTTAATGAAAAAATGTGTCATGACTTTCCCAATAACCTAATATTTTATATACTTTTATCTAATTTACATATCAGATTTGTTTTATTTTAACTGTGTCTGCTTTAATACAAGTTTATCATTTTCTATGTTCATTCTGTGGAAAGAACAGGTTCACAATACATGCCTCATATACTATATCTTCACGTTAGGAAGTATTCATATTGTTTCTCAGCCATATTTGAAAAGAAAATCCCAACTATGCTTTGGATTATGTTTTTCTATTTTTCTCCTAGTTTTCAAAAAGATCTCTTCATCTGTTTATAATGTCAGTTTTTCTTTACCAAAGTTCCCATTTTTCCCAAGGTAATGTTTGAAATTAGATCTAGAATTTTAATGAGAGCTTGACCCTTGTTAGACATTTTAGATCATTGGTAAAAATAATCAGAATGCCGTTTCCTCATGGAAATTTGCAATCCTTGAGCATCCAAGGAGAACTGAAAAATTTTCATCATAGTAGAGTTTAAGTAGGACTGTACGTATGGTTTTCTATCCTATATATTTTTTGCTTTGTTTTGTTTACCAAATGATTACAGAAAGTGAGTTGGGTCCTTCCACTAATTATGAGGCTAGAGAATTGGACATTCCAGTATATCTGGCTTCACCTGGCAAGAAAAGAGGTTACAAACATGGCGTAGCAGAGGCATCCAAAAGTTGCTTGGGCCTAAAATCTCTCCTACCTGCTTCTCTTTGAATAAAAGAAAAAAATAATCTTATTTTGTTATTATTTAATAATCCTATTTTCTTATTTTATTCAAGAGGCAACTACTAATTTTTAATCACTTCAATGGAAGAAACGTATTGATGTTCCTTGAGTTTTCATTTGTTATCCAAAATAGTCCCGTCCAATGTTGGGGCTGAATGTGAGTATAGAGTAGGGGGAAATGGATAAAACAATATTTTAGCAACCCTTTTTTTTTTTCTTTGTGTAACCATGGTTGATGAAAAGCTCATAAGTAGCATAATTCTGACTTTTTATTGTCCAAAGTGTCTTGGAGATCGTTTGTGCATATGTCAATGGTGTAGGTCATTGCCCTTGGTCTCTTCTCTTGACGATAAGTGTCTTATAACCACTGCCTTGCTCTTCCTAAGTCTGATGCTTCCCTAAGCTTTAAGGGCAAAGATTTTATTTATTCTGAGACCAGTAGATACCATAGCAGTTACATCACTGGACTCCTACATGGTCAACTGTGATTTGAGTCCCAGACCCGGTGGCTTTAAACTCATGCTGGACATGTGTGCATGCATGCCCAAGATCCTGGAAAGAGAATGGAGGAGAAGGGATTGTGGTGTAGCCATTCCCTCTTGGGGGTGTTTTTTAACTTTTCCTTTCACTGTCTCTCTCTCTCTCTCTCCAGTGAGTGCATGCACCCTAAGGCAAAAGACTCTAAAAAAAGATTTTACTTATTCTTACCAAATTTCTATAAAACTTGCAGTCTCTGTGACCTAAGATAGTAAACAAAGAACATGAGCTTATTTGTAATCCTTCCCGAGTGATTTTAGATTTCTTAGCATATATGTTTATAACAACTAGTAACCTTTGTAGAACACAGCAAATCATTATTTACAAAGCATTCTCCCTTCCATTTGATGAGTTACTGAGTTTCCATTAGCAATAAGCATTGTGTTGTAGTTATAAAGAAGAACAAGAAATAGTTTTCATAAGGAGCTTAGTTTTTAATGTGTGTGCTCATAGACACATTACATTTGATTCTCAAAATTATCTTAGAAGGTATTATTATCACTATATTAAATTGAATAAACAAAGACTAAAATTAAGAGAGGTTTAATACCTTGCCTAAGATTATGCTATTGGTAAGTGGTAGAGCTGGACATTGGCTATAGATACCATATTCTAGATCTTATCCTTAAAGAATAATATACTATTAAAAAATAATTAGCATGATCTCACCATCTTTTGTCCAGGTCATTTTCCCCCTTCCTAATTTGTTGTGAAAGGAATTTAAAGGCATCACAAGCAAGTTGGAAGAAATCCAAAATATTTTTTATTTTGCCTGAATAGGTGTATACATTTACTACTCTCAGAATGGGCTTAAATTATGTTTATCCAACTGTAGCAACACTAGACTCACAATGTGGTAAAAACTAGACTCATATTTTACTCTTTGTCTAACTTTATCCTATTCCAATTTCATTAGGTCACTTGATATTCATGGCTTGATGAGAAAAGAAAATGATTCTAAGGTGACAGAATTTGTCCTTCTGGGCTTATCATCCTCCTGGGAGCTGCAGCTATTTCTCTTTCTAATATTTTTGTTTTTCTATATGGCTATTATCCTGGGAAACCTCTTAATAGTGGTAACAGTGAGGGCTGATGCCCATCTGCTCCAGTCTCCTATGTACTATTTTTTGGGGCATCTCTCCTTCATTGATTTATGCCTCAGCTGTGTCACTGTGCCCAAGATGTTAGGGGATTTCCTACAACAGTGCAAGACAATCTCTTTTTCAGGATGCCTGGCCCAGATATACTTTCTCCACTTTCTGGGAGCCAGTGAAATGTTTCTGCTGACAGTCATGGCCTATGATAGGTATGTTGCAATATGCAATCCTTTGCACTACTTCACAGTCATGAACCGCCAGCTATGCCTTCAGTTGGTTTTGGCCTGCTGGTCTGGGGGTTTAATCCACTCTATCACACAGGTTCTGCTGATCATCTTGCTGCCTTTCTGTGGCCCCAATGAACTAGACAACTTCTATTGTGATGTCCCACAGATCATCAAGCTGGCCTGCATGGACACCTATGTGATAGAGCTATTGATGGTCTCCAACAGTGGCCTGCTGTCTCTTGTCTGCTTCTTAGTTCTACTATTCTCTTATGCTATCATCTTGATCACCCTGAGAGATCGCTTCTGCCGGGGCCAGAGCAAGGCACTCTCCACCTGTGCCTCCCACCTAACAGTGGTCAGCCTAATCTTTGTGCCGTGTGTATTCATCTACTTGAGGCCTTTCTGCAGCTTCTCTGTGGATAAGATAATCTCTGTGTTTTACACAGTGATCACACCCATGTTGAACCCACTCATATACACACTTAGAAATACTGATATGAAGGTAGCTATGAAGAAATTGAGAAAAAAACATGTGGTATCCTGGTGCCTTGTCAAAGGATGAACTGGAAGAGGTGATTTAGAAAACACACTATTTCTTGGGACACACTTAACTCATTTTGTGCATGAGGACCGGAAAAACAATTTAATAACTTTGATGCAAAAAAGAAGACAGAATAAACACTATAATGCTTCACTTGTGATTTATAGTTGGAAGGCATAGGTAGCTTTCTGGGGCACTAAATATTATGCAAAAAATTCAAGAGCATTTACTGACTATTTAATATCAGGAATGATATGAATACTAGGGTCCAAGGACATTTAGAATAAAATGAACTCTTCTATCCTTTTGTCTGTAAGTAGTCTCCATTTATTAATTTTACTGTTTAACTATAGTCATTCAAAGAAAATAATACATCTCTTATGTCCTGCTCCTCCTGTTTCTTCCTGTTTAACTATAGTCATTCAAAGAAGATAATACATCTCTTATGTCCTGCTCCTTCCTGTTTAATAATTCTTAATGTCAGCATTTTAACAATTTTTCTGATGTCTATGGAGTCTTCTGAAGCATTGTGAATTCCTTTTGCCTTGTCTCTAACAAAGCCTAAAAAGACCACCAATGATCTTATATATTAGTATTTATTCACCTAGGAATTGTGTTCCACATTGTGCCAAATTTTCAAATGTAGTTGACCAACTCACTTTAATAAAGATATACTTTTAAGAAAATCTATGTGTGGGAAAAAGAAAGTCTGAGTACTGGGGTGATGGAAGCTGCTAGTATCTTATTGAGGAGGGTTCTCTAGAAGAGGCATCCCATTTCAAAATTATTTTTGAACAGAATTATAGTGAGTATGAGCCGATAATCTGCCTTTCAACTGATCATAATGATGAAGAATTCTGGGCTCTGGTGAAGAAAGAGCTGTGGTTTAAAGCACTTTTCCTGTCCTTTAGGTGCTTACAGTTATTATCTCTGCATTTCAAATATGTTTTGAGGAGTAGATGATATTACTTAACTTCATTTTTACAAATGAACTCGAAGTCATTAAGTGCTTTGCCCAAAATCATTTGGAAGAACTGTAATCAACTGAGCCAGTCCCATAGCCTAATGGGTAAGGGTACTAGATCCCATACGACTGACCCCCATTGAATCCTGGCCCTACTAGCTTTAAAAACATGCTTGGCAGGTGTGTGTGCATGCCCCAAATCCTGATGAAATGGAGAAATGGAGAAGGGATTGTGATATGATCACACACCATTGAAGAGGTGGTTTCTCCTTCTTCCTCTCCCATTGTCTCCCCATCCATTCCTGGCAAGTATACATATGCTGTGGCAAATAATGTCTCCCCATCCATTTCTGGCAAGTATACATATGCTGTGGCAAATAAAAAAAAAATAAGGAAAAGAGTCAAAAAAGAAAGCTACTACTTTTAGATAATTTTTCTTCCCAGAAAAAAAATTGATCCCAATTGTATAGACTAATTGCTGAATTTCTACTACACCTGTGGGAAACTCCAGAACTAGAAGATCCCTAAAAATGACTCACTTATGTGTTTATATTTAAGATGATCGATTTTTGGATTGAGGACACTTGTAACTTTTTATGGCTATAGGAAGGTATTTATTCTACTTGCTAGATAATAACGATAAACTTCTAGCAACATTTTTGTATCTTCTCACTTTATTACCTAATAGATTGCTAAGGAGAGGCTTTCAGATTATTTAACTGCAAAAGCACTACTCAGAAAAAAAAAATGTCTGTAACCGTAGTACTAGAATTTTCAGGCTAATTTGCAGTATACTTTCTTTATATTGGAATAAAGAATGGACTTTCTTTTTTTCCTGGAAATTAATGACTTTATTTTTAAGAAGCCATATGTATATAAATAGGTATATATTTTTACGGAAGGACTACTCATGGACCAGGAACTAGCAATCTGTGGTTGATGAGACTGCTAGATGGCATGGGTCAGGGCAGGGAATGCTTCCTGGGTACAGACCACACTCTCCTCTTTCCCCTTAACTCTATGCAACATTTCCACTGAGGTTCTTTGTCTTTGGTGAATATTCTGATGAACAGACAGGAGGAAAATGGCAGCCAAAGAGCAACATGTGAGTTTCTTTTCTCATTTACATCCCTCCAGTACTTGCTTAATCAATTACCTTGATTAAAATCCTCTTTATTAATAAATGCATAAAGTTTGTGTTTTTTCCAGAGCATACATGATTGAGATCTTGCTGTATGGTGCTATGAGTTCCCTGTTCAAATACCAAAGCTTGCTGAGCTCTCTACTCTGAGTTCTACCTTCTTGAGAATGGACTGTATCCCTTCTGTGTGCAGCCAAGGCTGGAGCAGTGGTTGAGGGACACTATGCAAATAGTGTGGGCAGGGCCTGCAAGGTACACAGGAGAGATCTCTTGTGGTGGGATTTGGACCAGGAGAAAAATGTGGGCTAGGTGCTGGAGACTAAGGCCTTCTCTGTTCATACCGCCACACTCTGGAGAAGAAATGAAGAAGAAGAAGAGGAAGAGAAAGAGGAAGAGGAAGAGAAAGAGGAAGAGGAAGAAGAAAAAGAAAAAATTACCTCTCAGTAATTACAGTGTTGTGGGAAAATATATTATTGAAATGCTGTTAGCTTGATTTATAGTTTTTAGATATATTTTCATGTGCTTTATTCATACTCTTGATCTAGATCCCTGAGATATTAAAGTGATGTGCCTCTTTTTTTTTTTCAGTTCTGGTGGCTTTTTACAAGTACTGAAATAACAGAGTGGTCAGACCATTCTAATTCATAAAATCATGGGGGAGTTTTTTTTACTTCACATTTCTAGGACACATAATGGGAACTAATGTTTTGGACACATTTAGCCTAGCTCTAAAGTACAATTGTAAGTGTGCCAATGTAAGTTAGAAAACATTACCCTTCCATTGCTAAATGTCTTCCTGTAAGAGCCCTAGAACCTAGAAGGTATTATTAGAAAGAAGTCAACATGCCATGCTAACATTTACTCTTAATTTAGAGGAGATATGTCCATGACAATGGGGAGTGATAATGGGCTACTCATGAGAAACTGGAACCCATATGGCTACTGTGGTTAGAATCCCCAACTGGATCAGTCTGAATATGCTAGGCACATGTGTGAGTGCCCAGGATTGAACTGACTGAAGGATTGGAGAAAGGAGATTGTGGTGTGACCAAATCCTATGGATGGTGTTCTCTCTCTCTCTCTTTCTTTTTCTCTTTCTTTTTATTTTTCGGAGCCACTCACCACATATGTGCTCATGTACCCTATCATGAATAAAGGAAAAGCATTATTACCATAGGATCTGTAGGGCCATAGGGTGCATAGGAGTAAGAAAATCTAGGTTAATACATAGGAGTCCTCATGTATTTGACTTATCTGGAGTTTCAATCCATATCTTAGGCCTAATTCCAGGTTCTGAGCTTGTTCTGAGACCAGATATGACCCCAGTTCCCACTGATTGTCCCAGTCCTGTTCTTTGTATGACCTTTAAACTGCTTGAAATTTCCCCTACCTATACTTTAAACTTGTTGCTTCCTCCCCTGGAATTACTGATCAACATTTCACCTGCAATTTTCAAATTAAAAGTCTCCTCTTTGAAGCCATCTCTTACCCTGTCATAAAATTTTATTAAGTTATCTCATATGGATTTTAATAGCAAGCTGTATGCTTTTCTGTAATTAACATGTTTCCACCATACTGTCTTCATACCATACTCAAGTCCTTCCCTAAGTATTTTTAAACAGGATGGATGCTTGTTTATATAACAATACCTCACCACCACCACATTGTAGTCAAGACGTAGCCTTAATCATGTTTAGAAGACCCCAAACCTAATTATAATGTCATTAACATACTAAATGACACACCTACCAGTTCCATAATAGTTGATGGTTTCCTGGACAACCACCAGAAAAGTTCATGAAAGGAAGGAAAGGAGGGAAAAGAGGTAGATTTTGAATTCCATGAAATCTCTGCCTTTTTCTTGCAAAAACTTTGAACGTTCTTCCCTTCTATTACTTTATCGTTTCTTCTCAGTATCCCACTTGTATCTTTTTTTTTTTTTTGGAGAGGTTTTTGCTAGAGGGTGCATGCACTCACCAGAAAGACAGAGAGAGACAAAAAGTGAGAGCCCCCCACCCCCAGTGGTGATGGCCACGCCACAATCTCTTCTCCTCCATTCTCCTCTCGGGATCCTGGGCATGCATGCACACACGTCTGGTGTGAGTTTAAGCCACCAGGTTCAGGACTCGAACTGTGGTAGACTACATGGGAGTGCAGCAACATAGCCATTATGCCAACTGCTGGTACCGCCCACTTGTCATATCTTATACTCCCCAGATCAAAATTAACATGAAATTGATTTGAGAGCTCATCTGCTTCTCCATTCCTTGACCATTGAATAAAGTTTGTGCCATTGACACAAGTTCCAGTTTTATAAGTTGGATCTGACATTGAATAGCAAAAGGTCCCATCTTGGAGAATTAATTAAAAATTGGTGACATAAGCACTCCCCATATTTATTTCAATTTTCTCTTTGCTTATTGGGCTGTCCCATGATTCAGTGGTCTCTGTATCGTAAATATTTAGCATGACACACTGCCCAGAATATTTTTTGAAAAAAAGAAACAAGAAAATAAAGAAATATAAAAGAAACAAGGAAGGAAAGAGAGAAAGAAGGAAGAAAAAGAAAGAAACATGATGCCATCTTTTATTTCAAAAGGAATTTGATTAGAGAAACACAGTGAAAACAGGACTGCTAGTTACACATTTCTTTGTTTAAACATCCTCTACATTTGTAATCTAGAGAGTCATAGTAAATGAAATGTTTACAGCAATAACAAGTATTTATTTATTTTTGAACAGTTTTTGCCTCCTTTTCACCAGCGAGAGACAGAGATAGAGACAGTGAGAGGGAAAGTGAGAAACCACCTCCACAGGGGTGATGGTAGTTAGAGAGTCGTAGTAAACGAAATGTTTACAACAATAACAAGTTTTTGCCTCTTTTTCACCAGAGAGAGACAGAGATAGAGACAGTGA